ATATATATATATATAAATATAATAATTATTTGGGTATGTGTATAGCCAAATTGTTTCCGAAACTGATCAGACAACCGTTTGTGCAAATTGTTTGCTATTCGATATCAAAGTTTGTCCTGAAATGGCACAAATAAATGGTTTGATTATTGATAACAAATAATTGATGAAGGAGAAAAGTTTTATTTGCAGAAGGTTTCGTCTAGCAGTTTGTTTGATTTCTGAAAAGCGTTTTTGATTTTAAAATAGCTATCTATAAAAGAATTTAATTATATAGGAAGTAAGACTTATTCTCAGCTTCTATTTATCTAATTATCAGTTCAGAACTCTAATAACAATGAACTATAATTGAGATATTAGTGGAACTTCAATTTGATTTTTGTGCCCTTACAATGACCGATGAGTGACCAAATCAAGTCATTTTGCTTGTAGTGAAATTAGTTCACTAAATAGGCAAAAGTTTGATCTAAGCAGTATGCAGTACAAGCGTGAGCAGTTGCGACGAGAGCGCAAAGGATGATAGATAAAACTGATATTGACAGCAGTTATTCGTGAAAGAGTAAATGATTACGTAAACTGAAATTACCAAAAAATTACTCTCACTGAGTAATACTCTACCTGACCTTTCTCAACTGCAAAGCGAAAATGAACTGGATATAACCTCTGCGAAGTCTAGATTTCGCGTGCAAAGAGCACACTTTTGTTCAAGTCTTTCTGATTTTGTGATCAGTCGTAAGTTGTTCAAATATTAGTGCCAAGTAAGGAGTAGACAGCTAAAATCGTCACATAATCTTTGATTGTTTGCCTTAATCTATTCTTTCTTCTAGCATTTGTTTGCATATTTGCGTGTGTTTACGCAAGTCGTAAAAATTCGCTACGGAAAATTTCATCTGAAAAGTATTGCAAACACACATTTTAGACCCAAAATTTTTACACATTTTGTTATATTAATATTTGATTAGCAGTAGTTGCGATCAAAAATAATACCTGTAAGCATGCAGCGAATACGACTAATTACTTGTAGGAAATGCGTATACGCTTATCCACAAGATAACAGTAACGCTTATAGTGTAACAGACAAATAATATCACACGAAGGTTATTTGTGCCCTTGAGTTCCTTCCATTAGCGCCGCTTTATCAGTGCATACATCGGTGCTAGTCACTGACTTTTTTGACTCACTTCTAGTCTTACCAAATAAGAAACTTCTGGATCTTCTTGGTCATCAACTTCATGATATCCTCGCCGGTGGCAAAGATCATGAGATCATGCACAAACAATAGATGGTTCGTTATGTGCATCCCTTGATGAGTTGGAATTGCCAAAGCCGAGGGCTCAACGGGTCCACGCATTAGACGAGTAGCAGCAGAGATCACCTTGGAGAATTTTGCTTTCCTTTATAGTTTCTCTATTGTTTTTAGTCCAACTGCCCATTTGAATGTAATGAATTTCAGAAACTGCTGATTCACGCTAGTATGTTAAGCCTTGGAAAACTAGTTCCACTTTTATTCACGTATGCTCTCACTTTTGGAGCATCTGAAAAACTTCTTCAATACTATCACATTCAAATTGTTTGTATCGAGCATATTTGCGTTATTGTCCCTTCAAACGTGAAGACCGTGCAAAACTCTTTTCGCAAATACTGTACCTGGACAGCTTTTTACCGTACTTGTGTGCGTGCATGTTTTGCTGAGGTACTGAGTCTGCCTTCGTTGCATCAGATTCTTCTCACGTAAAAGTTGAGCATTGTTCTTTTCATAATTGATAAGACAGGAAAAAAACTCTTTCCTGTATTTTTTCATAAAACGAAATCATTAATTGACATATTTCTGCTGGCAAATTTTGTTCGCTAATGCTTGCACTAGTAATTAATATTTCGTAGTAATCCGAGTAATTTACAAAATCACTTAAATAGCTACTGTCAGAAATCAGTGATTAACAATTCCAATCAATCGATAATTCTGAGTACACAAATGTCATTAATAACTGTGCTAAACAAAGATTAAGAACTATTAACTTTAAGAAAACAAAAAATATTAAAGAAAGTAAAACCCGTTTATCGGAGGGAAATAAGCAGCAATATTATATAAATTAATGTACTAAAAAGTTCTTAGACTTTGAAATATTACGCAATTTGTGAATATTATAATTTCCATCAATAACAAAACAGTCAAAAAATCGCAGTAAATTCATAAAATGACTGGTAAGAGTGATGTCCTGAAGCATACTGTACATTATAATTATTAACTAATACAGAACTTTTTTGACAATGTTAGCTTTAATTAATAAAAATACATAGCAAATGGAATTTTTATACAATAAAAATTTTCGTAATCATTTTAATATCAAACAAATATGTTTTTTTAATAACAATAAAAGTAGTACTTGAAAATAATAAAAAATAACTGTTGTATAAATGATAAATATTGACATTTACAAACTGATTATAATATTATTATCAACAAAGTAATCACTATTGCATTCTTCAACTCTGGGATCCTTCACAATCAGTCAAGTATTGGTGTTTGATAACAGCTCACAAACTTTTCCAATCTTCAGTGATATTTTGAACATCTGAAGTATACTAATTAAAAGAGTATAAGTATCGATAATAAGCATAAAAATTTTTTACACGTAAATTGATGGTAGTTGTGTAATTATCACCGTTTTCACTATATGTACCACAATGTGCTGTTGGTACATTCCAAGCTGATGAATACACCACTGATTCCACGTTTGGTGCAACTGTTGATTGCAATTGTACAGGTGAGGATGAATTACTTGAATTTTTTAAAATTATTTATTCAATTAACAGTGATCACGCATGAATGATAAAATGATAAATGGTAAAGAAAAAGATTTACGTATTATCGAAAATGTGCTCATATAAATTTTCAAAATATTTTAATAATTGGTGGTGAAAATGTGTTTATTGTACTTTTAAAAATCAGAGATTTAATTTAAAAAATTGCATAATTTTTTATAATACGCGCAATCATTCGTTTAATTAGCTAAAATATAAAACGAAAATAAAAGTTGGCAAAAATTACAACTCAAAAATTAATATTGCTTGACTTATTTACTGTGATCAAAATAAACTATTTTGTTTTGTCTTATTTTTTGCTCATTCATTAAAATTTTAATTACATATTAAGTAAAGTTTTCAAAATTTATAGCAAAAATTAGTACCATGAAAATATTCTAAGGACTGTGAGAAGAAATATAGTAGGCCGTAGTAACTTTTACAAATTAAATTATGAACCTTTTGAAAGGGTCAATCAAGAAAGAGGTCATTGTATTTGTTGTTGGAGAATAACCACCATAAGAAAGTTCACTGTAATCTGTCATCGTAGTACTACTTGCTATACTTCCATTAGTTGCATCATTAATTACAGAATTTGAAACTAAGCTAAAGAGAATTAAACAATAATTAAAATTTTTCAAGCCTTTGTAAAATTCAAATTTTTTATCAAATTTTGAAAGTAAATAAAAACTTAAACTATACAGTAATGCATAAAAGTAATGAATAAAAATTAAGACAACACTTAATAAGTTATATATTTAAGGCGTTCAAGTAATTTATTTTTCTGATTTCAGTAAATTCATTAATTTTTTTAAACAGTTTTACTATTTTACAACTTCACTGAAAGACGAATTAGATTTTTAAAGTCAATAAAAAAACTACACTTACAAATTTATTGAAAGTAACTCGAATTTTTGCTTTGTATACTTTTTTACACAAAATATTTAAATATAAAATACAATTGAACTACAAACCTTTCCATGCAGTGCGAAACAGAATTTTTTATCAAAGACGCTTTCAAACTTTCTGCAAATAAATAAATTTTTCATCGATAAATTTTATAAATAAAAAACTTTGTAATATTTTTACCATTTTTAAAAAAAATAAAAATCCACCAAAAAATATCATAATTTTACGTAATAAGTTTCAAATAGCACGTTTAACTTTTACATATCAAATATTATTTATGCAAAAATATAATAATGCAAGACTTAGTCATCTATCTTAGTACTGTGTCATTTCTAACTATTTACGCAAATATATAAATAAAATGTGGAAGTTGGTTTTAATTTTTAATTTAATAAAAATGGTTAGTTTTAATTTTCTAATAATACTTATTAACTCTAATTTTAAGATAATTTTTAATCTTTATGATGTGATCAATTTGAACTTTTTTCTAACTTTCTATTTATTTAAAAAACGTAAAGGAAACAAAAATTCACCACTGATTCTGAGAAATCATTCACTGATAGTGAATATTGTAGACAGTTCAGTATATCCATCTTTACAGTTCTCAAAAGTGATAAATAGCAAACAAGTCAAACAATCTCAATTTATGTAAAGTTTAACTTTTTAAACTCTCTGCGATTTATTGATATTTTACAATTATGCAAATCAAAATTACCAGAAGCTAATCGATCACAAACTTTTTGTTCTTTTGTTTCTGTTAAAATTAACTCTTCCATCAACTGATCAATGTGTGCTAAGCCTGATAATTTGAATACCAAAACATCTTCGCAAACAGCATTAGCCAATGCCTAGAATTTAATTATCAACATTATTGCTCACAAAAATTATTACTGCTTGAGAAAACTTTTTTCACTATGAACAAATTTATATTCAATAATGTTTATAAAGAAAATTTTGAATGTTTTTTCAAAATATTGATAATAATTATTGAATTTTCAATTACTGCATGGTCATGGTGTAGAGATAGTATCAAAACATTGCAGTAGCTTGATAAGGATTTGATAAGAAGCAGAAATATATGTATATTTTACTATTCTATTTTTATATTTTTATATAAAATGATAATAAAATATGAATTAGAAAAGTACACTTTTTAAAGAATATTTGCAAATTTCAATATTTTTTGACTACAAAAATTATTAAAACTCTTTTTGAATCAATTATGACACAAACTTTAGTTATAATATTCAAAAAATAGAAATAAAAATAGAATAATCTGAAAATAACTGATTACTTCTGATTATTACTTGTATATATTTTTGTGATTTAAACTACTCCATTAGCATTAGTTTTTTGATCACATTCAACTAACGATATTATCAGTAACTATTTCTACAGAAGAATACTTTACTCAACTGATTTTGTCAAGTAAAAATAAGCTTAAAAATAATCTATTACGTGATATAAATTAGTGCATGGCTTGAATAAATTAATTTTTTTTGAAACCTGTAATGGAGATAAGACGAAAAACGTCAAATCACCAATCCTATTTGTATCTGTTGGAATTTTCGTACTCACGTAATGCTCTAAAGCAGCAAATATACGTCGGCGTGTTGCCAAAACATCCATAACACAGCTACTTGATAAGCCTTTGGCTACTATAATAATATAAGGAAAAACGTAAAATAAATGCTAATTTTTCGAAATTAATTAACATATGTCTTTTTATTATTGCAATTTTTCAGTATAATTAAAGAATTTTAATTTTTCTCTATTTTATTGCTAATAAAATAATACTTAATTGTATGATGAACTTTGACATTTTTTAAATATATTTGATTATAAAAGACATATTGCTTTTTTTCCCAAGTTAAACGTGTAATCTAAACAAAAGTATTATATCTATTTTAGATTCTGGCAGAAAATTTTAATTTAATTACAAAAAACTCAATTTACAAAAGTAATTAAATATAAAGTAAAACTAATAACTAATGCAAACGACACAACAAACCAGGATTAAATAATACACAAGCTTTTAAAGCTGCAAATTCAACATCGTCAATCTTCAAGAATCGCATTGGTGCAACAAGCTGATCCATAATACGTTCACAATCACGAAAGTAAATATTTCTGAAACACTGACCAATATCCCCAAAACAAAGATTATTTATTCATGCATTTATTTCTTTTCAATGAACTTACTTCTTCTTTTTATTTTTCAACTATGAATTCATTTATTATTTAAATTAAAAAAGTAGATCAAGATTTTAGCAGTCACATTTGTATTGCAATTTTTAACCATTAAAAATAATTATTGTAGCTAAAATCATTTACTAAAAGTAGTTAAAATAGTACACTGATTATTCTTATTGATTGTATAAATTGTCTACTGGATGGATTATTCGAAATTAGCTGAAGTAATCAATGTATTACGATACATTGATATTTGCATATAAATAAAAAAATTTATAATTTCAAAGAATGTGTTATTTTGTAAAATTAGCTATTAAAATTATAATCTTACATTTTTTAGAAAATTTAAGCAAGCAAAAAACACATTTCTACCATCAGAATCATTAATATTTCAATAATTATTAACAAAAATCAAAAAAAAGAAACTCATACTCTAAGCATTCTGATTCATCACTGTTAAAACAACGGGGTATGCAGGAATCGTTAAGTAACTTCAAAAAATCTGAGTTGTCTTTTGAACGATATGATACACCCAAAATAATATGTTGAGAAGCGTAATTCTTTAACAAAGCTGTCTACAAATTAATCAGATTTGTTACAAATATTAAAATTTAAGTGTTATTTTATTTTTGATATATTTTTTGAATATTACAATTAATCACAATTGTGGGAAATGTTCAAAATAACTTATCACTGCAAAAACACTGGAACATATTAATTGCTGGAAAATTACTGGAAGATATCAATTACGTATAATCCGCTGTATCTTGTAAAGTATATATTTCTTTAAATTGCATATTTCGGAATTTTAAATCAGAATAACATTTTGAACTATTTTTATTAGTACTTCGAAATAATAACAAAAATCTTTAATACAGTTTTTCTACAAACAAATTATGAAAAACATATTTTTATTATTTACAATTTTAAAATAAGTCTTAATCAATTGCAATTTTCGGATGCTGAAAAAAAGTTATCACGTAATTTAATATCTGCCAGTGATTTTTTTCCTACTACTGTATAAATTTCATTTACTTCTACAGTATATTTTATTTAACACGATAGCGTTCAGACTTGATTTCAAATTGATTTAAAAAAATAGCAGCAAAGTAATAACTGAGACAATAAAATTTCATATCTGAGGAAATATTAAAATTTTTCCATAAATTTTTGGACATAATTTTTTTGGCATAACATTTTTGTGTAAATTCAGAAATAATTGATAGTAATAATTAATAGCAAATGCTTGTTAAAGTTCTGGATCACAAAAATTCATCTGTTTTAACACTGATAATAATCAATATAAAATGTTGTACCAATGTAAGATATATTCTTCAAATATAAAGAATGTATACAAATGCATTAATTTTGATCTTTGTTAACTAATATTAATTAAAAAGTGTTAATAAAGTAATTTAATATTAATAAAATAGTAAAAGGAAAAAGTGAACCTGATCATCTGTAGATAGAGACGCAAATGGAGGTATTGTTTTAGCCCACTCTATCACAAGCAGTAGCTGACTATGTATGCTCATGTAAATATCCTTGATAGTCGCAGTTCTGCATGCTTCATTTGCTGCATACTGAAATTTTATTTGAATGAAGTGATGTAAAGTAACGTGAAGTTACGTGACTTTACGTGAAGTAAAATGAAACAAATAGAATAAATAAAGTGCATTTTAACACGAAAAATGAATACAAATGCAGTAACTTTGTTCTAAATAGATCTTTGTACATTCGGTATTAATAAGATCCAACATTCAAAACAGTTGAAAAATTGTTTAAAAAACAAGAGAGATTAATGAAATAAAGATGACCAATTGATTTTTTGTCCACATTGGAACATCTGTTTGCTTGATCACAGATTCTCGTAAACTTTGAATCTTTTTCTCTGATATCAAAAGACTTTCTAATAGAGATCTTGGTGTGTCCCACGTTGGAACAGATGTCGCAGTTGATTGAGATACCATAAATTGCCTCAACAATTTATTAACTTTAATTTATAATTTTTATGCGAGATAATCTCGAATTCAGTTTAAATAATAATTGCAAAGGTTAAAAGGTATAATGTAAACTTTGTATGCTACCCAATTCGAGATGATCCTTTAGGAGTAGGTGATGATTTAATTTGATCAGTTTTGGTATAATGTGCACTGTTATTCTCTAGTGGAAGACTTGTTGAAGGAAGTGGAGATGATGGGGCACGATTACGTCTTCCAATCACGTCACGTTCATTTTGCACTGCTAAAATGAATAGAAATAGTTGTTGACTTGATAACAAATTTATGCAAACCTCTTAAATAACTTTATTAATTTTTAAAAAACAAATAGTTATAGTAAATCTCATATTCAACAACTGATTAAATAAACTTGTGCCATCAGCCTTAATGCCAGTTATTGTAAGTTAAAAATCAGCTCTATAAATATGGATATAGAGATTTAAAAAAATCTTTTAAGACGGATGTAAAAAACTCAAAATAGACATTTCAAACCAAAATATTCTTTTAAACCAAAATTAATAAGTTATAAATTTCATTTTCAAGATAATTTTATTAAAGATAAAATCTTTGACGTAATAAAGTAAAAAATTATTACGTTCACTTTTCTACATCTACTGCTTTATTTAACTATTAAAAACAAAAGCATTGACTATCCAAATTAATTTCAACTTTAGCAAATATAATTTTTATTATTATTTCGTTTAGTCATCAAAATTAACAGATTGATCAAACTGTCATTACTCTTACCGTCAACTTTCATGCCAGTATTGATACAACGTGTATAACGGCAAGCTCGACAAACCGCTCGATTATCTATGCATTGCAAGCAGTTATTAATTTAAATAACAATGAAAAATTACTATCAATTAATTCAAACATTACTGAAAAAATGCTTCTGAAATCTACAACTTCTAGCAATCATTCTTTGAGAAATAATTCTTATTAAAACAAAACTACGTATGTAATTTACTGTATCAATCATTAAATAAGTATTAAGATATGAGTAATTAATTTAGAGCGCATTTTTAAGAGCAAATTCGATTATAAAATGTAAATGTACACAATTATTATGACCTTTGTATCTAACCTTACATTTATCCCTTTGACCTTTAGTCAACTATCAATTCCTTAAACAACGTAAATATTTAATTCTTGCATTACTTGCAGACTTTCTTAATACAATTTAAGAGAATGAATGTGTTAATAAGCAATAAAAGTAGAAAAGCTTATATGTCTATAATGCATCCAGAAAACTGGATACATGACTAAAACAAATTATTATGGTTAGAATTTTTTTATGATAAAGAAATTTACATATACAAATAATTACTGATATGATAATAATAACTCAAAGTTTCACTTAAAAGATATGCCTACGTTTATCAATGTTGCAAGTACCATTGAAGCGGCACACATATTTATAACTTCGCCTGATTGTTCTTCTGAAGAAACCTATAAAAGTTTAACAAAAATTACTTCCAGTGGCTATTTTTCGATCTGTAATTGCCAGATGTTATTTTATAACAAGTAATAAAGTTTTATGATTTTAAGGGTTAGATAACACTGTTCAGCAAATTAATTTCATATTAACTCATATTTTTAATCAATTTTATACTTTTCATTTTTTGAAATGACAAAAAAATAATTTGAATTAAACTTGCTATGCATTTTATTTGCATATACAACTATTTATGATGAAGTAATCAAAAATTTATCATTGTCATTTATCATTATCGTTATCATTTATCACTATTATTTATCATTGTTATTGTTTTATCATTTGTCATTGTTTTTTCATTTAATTATAATTTGGATCAAAAAAAAGTATAATTACTGTTAATGAATTAGTTTTCAAGCTCAAAAAAAGAAAATCTTTTGAATATTTGAGATTTTTTTGCTATTTAACCTTTGCAACCATTGCATGCAATTGTGCCATAATGTCGACCAGTTGCTTGATCACCACATACAACACATAATAAATGATTTGTATCTAAAATATATCCATTATAAATATAATAAATATACTACATGTAATATTTATAATGCTAATTTATTATCATTACTAATTGCTGTCATAAAAATAGCTATTACAATAAGCATAACTGCTCAGTGATATTAATATTTGTTTTTATTGATATTGAATTCTGTAAAAGCATAACATACGAAAGAAATATTAAAATTTAGAATAAAAAAGGTAAGCAAATAAACTTTTCTCATTTTCTTCATTATTCTTAGCGCTGTTTTCTGCTTTCAAAACTCGATGCATTCGAGCCAATATATTATATTAGACTGTGCGAATCCTTATAAGATTCGCTCAAACTAATATCAATAAGATATCCTGAAGAAATAATAGCAGAAGAGTATGCAACTAATTTTGTCTTCAGATTGTATCAAATAAAATTTTTAATTATAATCTGACTTATACTCGATAAAAAACACCAAATTACTAATAATTTAATCAAAAAATTTGTAAAGAATACAATTTTCATTAAGGAACCTTAAGGAACTTTAAAATGCAAACCATTTTTTTTCTAAGCCAAAAAATTCTACAACTGAAATGTAATTTGAATAAAATGAGTTCAAATATTTACCAGAAAAAATTAAATAACTCAGGTTTTAATTTTCAGTACGCTACTAACTTTGTATCATATGATTTGCGATTTTTTATACAATTAAATGCTAAATTAATTAATAATTTAATATAAACTAATTGTACTTCTTCAAACATAACACATTTAAATTAAATTAATGTCTGGAACACAGAATAACAATTAATACGACCCTTAATTTGCATATCAACTCGTAAGTGAGCATTTTTAACAATCTTAATCAATTTGTTGATAAACTTTAACAAACTTTTGAAATATTTCGATGATTTAATCTTTTTTTAAAGTTTTATCGTGAAGAATAAATAAGATTCACATGTTTGCTTCCTAATACAGAAATCAAAGAATATGTATTACAAACGATAAGCATTGAAAAGAAAGTTAATTGAATAACTTTAAAAAAAGTGCTTCATAATAATTTGGACTTACAATCAAGTCTTCAAAACGAAATCCTAACTGATCTTATCCTTCAATGATGCTTACATTTCTCTACAAGCTTATTTTTTTTTTGCTGTTTTTTATGCTTTCAAAATATTAAAACGACAGCTGTACTTGAAACTTGAAAAATGCAACAGTTTTTGGAACTTAAATTATAATTGTTAGAATCAAACAGAATGAAATGACTAAAACATTATTTATAGGAAGTTAGTACTAAATTACAGTAATTTAAATTGTTCATTTAAGTTTAATTCTCACTTTCAATTTCATATAACTTTAATTTTCTATTTCGCGCCATTTGAGACTGATTTTTAAAGAAAATACTAAAGTTGAATATCAACCCAAAATTTGCATTAATAACATTCTGCATAATAAATAAAATTTTAGTTAGTAAAAACCCAAGGCAGAAAAAATATATAACAACATATAATTTTAACTTAAAATCCATAAAGTAAACAGCATTTGATGCTTGGCAATTATTTATAGCAACTGTTACAATTAACAGAATCAGTACAATTTTTTGAACGAAAAGTAAAAACGCAAATGTGAATTTACGCTGAAGGATTGATGACAAATCGCACGAATTCTTCTTAAGCTTAACTAAAGTCTTCAATACACTCTTTAATAATGTATTAGTGAAGAGTTTTTTTTGTTCACAATTTAAATAATTATCAAGTTCCTTCTAAAATTACTTATAAATTTTTTGTAGGCAATTTTATTACTGAAAAAAAAGAGAAAAACTTACGAAGTAAAAATGTAGGCTAAGAAATAAAACTTTTTTGAATTCAAAAGAAAACAAGTAATTCAAAAAACTGAGCATTTCAAGGTAAAAACAGTAAATACTTTATAACTTTGATTGTTTATTATTATCAAATTGCTTACAAAGTATCAATCAGCTAGCTTCTTGCTAATTCTAAAAATATTGTTGCTATTTATTTGCATATTCAAGATTTTAGTTAAATGAATCTTAGCAATATCATAAAGTCCGAAAAATCATATCAAAATTTTGTATCAATTTTAAAATACAATAAATTATCACATTTTTGAATGAAATTACATAGTTTCCAGGCATCGATATATGATTCGTAGCAATCAAAATTTTTCACAAATGATAATTTCCAAGATTCTAATTCTTTAAATACCAATACTTATAAATGTAAAAAAATGTTTCAGTTAAGTATTTGTTATACCTATTATTTGAAAAACTTTTTCTACCTCTAAACTAAGATCTTTATCATAAATTAATCTTTATTCAATAAATTTTGCACATTTTTGATCTCAGAAATGATCCCTGATCGTAAAGATCACTATTATGGATCATTTTTTGTATTTATAATGAAAAGTACAAGCAATAGAAAAGCATTTAACTGCTAGGAATAATAATGAAATGATAGAGAATTCGATCAAAGTTGACAACTATCAAGCAGTGATATTTTCAAAGAATATTTCAATTGATAACAAAATCAGATGGTTGAGTCATTACTGCTTGACCATTGCAATACTGTGATAATGCCATCTATCATCGACAAAAGCATTTATGATCATCATTTTGTTTGAAGGAAAAAGAAATTTATAAGTAATCATGTAAAGAATTAATGATGATAACGATAATAATAGTAAACAAAAATAATCAGCATAAAAGTATATGATGAAATAAATACAAAAATAATTACAAGTAATCAAAAAAATATTGAGTCCTGATGATAATGATAATAATAATCGTGATACTTTGACTATATTAATGATAATTATTACTATAATTGCTAAAAAATTTGAGTAAATTCAAAATATAATGTAAAATTTGCATAAAGTTTTTTGCATTCTACTTTTATACTTCTACATAATCGTTACATTTTTAAACACAAAATAGATAAAATACTGAAATGAGGAAATTACTATATAAAATTTTTTTCCGCTCACAGTCAACTTTACTACTAAAACCATCTAGTTAACATTATAATAAACTACCAAAGCAAAGCATCCCACCCGAAGCAGCAAAACTTTCGTTGCTATCCTTACTCTGATGATAAGAATCACATCGTTTTTTAAACTATAATTTGCAGTTTTTTAACCGAAAAAATCAATAATTCAATCAAATTTACGATCATATTTTATTAACAAACTAAGCATATTAAAGAATACAAACAATCTTAATCAAAAAATGAAGGTAAGTTTATTAATAATTGATTTTTCAGTTTTCTTTTCCTTTTTTATTTTAACAAAATTGCTGTAATAGCAACAGCTTTAAATATGATAATAATGAAAGGATATTAAAATTAATAATAATAATGATAGCATAAAATATAATAATGATGATCGTAATGATCACAAAATAATAATAATGTCAATTATAACGAAAACATATCTATTATCTATAAAAATCAGAAATAACAGTTATTAGAAAAAGCTATTATTGCAAGGACGAGATTTTTGAGAGGATACTAATAAATCAGTATTGCTAATGATAATAATACTAGTAATATTAACTGTACTCACTATTAATGTTTAGATCATTACGGATTATTTTTGATCGCCAACAATTTTTTAAAAAGCTCAATATATTAAACAATACATAATTTATATGAAATTTGTGTTAGAATACATTTTCGCTGAAAAGTTTTGTGCGTTCATTAGAGTTTATAATGCATAAAACCAATAATAAAAGATTCGTTACTGAAAATACAATTAAGATTTATGAATTTAAGAACAAAATTTTGAAAGATTATCTCCTATTCTGAATTTTAATGCTTATCAGTTTCTTTTCAGATTTAATGCTTATCAGTTCTTTTAATCATTCCATAAATATAACTGAAATAAACCAGAAAAAACTCCGTAAAAAGAGAAGACAATAGATATAAACATACTAAGAATGCTAATAATTAACTCAATTTTAGCTATGATATAAAATTAAAGTAAAGCAGTCCCAAAATATGCAGCAATCATAATGTACAATCTGATATTTGGTTAAACTTTAAAAACTGATATCAACTTTTATTCACAAAACTTCAAGAATCCACGTTTATTCTTTTTATCATGATACTATTGTAATTAGACAAAAAATAAGTATCCATTTTACACTTATTTACTACATTCAATCTATACTGCTCACTTTAACTGCTCTCTCAAAAATAGCTTCACAAAGATGTAACTATAATTCTTGTAATTTCTGGACTCTTTATAGTGCTGTAAAATATAACAATTTTAAGAACTTAAATGAAACAATACAATAATGGAATTAACAATAATGAGAATGATGATGTAAGTAGCATTAGCATCTAAAAATTCATTTATTTCACACTTGAACCATTGAGATACAATTTAGTAGCAGAGAATTTCAGTGCAAAATAAACTACTTGTATTCTCTGCCTGCAAACTCACAAATTTGTCCAGTGTATTGATAACACTACTTCTAATTATAATGTCGAGATATTTCTATCACTGAATCTTAATTTTGACTAGCCAGTTTTCGATAAACTTATAGCTAAGAAGTAAATTGTTGAGTGCGAGATAATGTTGAGTAATTTCCACAAATTTTAATACAATGATTATATACAACCGCCCGTTTAAATACGATTTCAAAGTGATAAAGTACTTTTTCTGTACAATAATCGCAGAATACTTTCAATATTATTAATTTATTGTAAAAATTTCATTTTTTTAAATTAATGACGTACTATCCAAGCAATTTCTATTACATCAATTTTAATATTTTTGCTTGATGAAAAATAGTTTTTAGATAAGAAGATAAAACATAACATTTGAAGCAGTAACAACTGCCAAAATTGGAAACAAACAATGGTAGAAAATCAGACCAACTCTAATAGTCACTGCAAACAATATCAGCTTGTGTGAAGACCATAATATTAACTAATATGCTTCGAACAATCCCGAAAGTTAGATTTAAGATTATATAAGTTATCTGTGATAAAAAGATAAGTTACATATTAGCATTTAATGAATATATGAATGAAGAAATTTAATATGAAAAATATATAAATTACAGCTTTCACATATAGCTCAGACGAAAATAAAATTTTTATCGCGACCCAATTATTAAACAATTCAATCACGACAAATTAAAACGATATTAATTATTAATCTAAATAAAAGTTGCAGTCTAATTGAGTGTCATATTCAAACTTGTTATTTGCAACCAACACAAATATCGAAAAAACAATGAAATGATATTATTAACTACAAAACTTAAAGCTTTTTATAAGAAAAATAATATAACTGCTTTAATTTTGGTTTACAACAGAAATTGGTGATTATTGTACCACATACAATAATATAGAGAAGCAACAAATATGCAAAAAAATCTGGTGACCACCCCAGCGAAGGAGGTTGTACATGACGTAAAGATGAAATATAAGAACTCCGTACCCATTCACTATAGTGAAACTTTCGAAATTGATCTCCCGCAGCGATATTTTTTATAAATATCGGCTCATTGGCAACATATTCGGGCCACGGCTCGAAATCCAACAGAAAACGAAGATAAACAATTAATGCACCTGCGGCAACTCCATTTGAATATGTCGAGCATGAGTCTAAAACCAGACAATTTAGAAAAGTATATCCCACTAACAAATGCAAAAATAAAAAGAAATGAAGAAAATTGACTTTAGTAAAAAAGAAGTTAATATCTTGAAAATAACAAAATTTTATTGAGAAATGACGGAGCAAAAGATTCAAGATGCAGAAAAACCAAGAAACAAAACTAAAACATATAGAAAAATGACGAGACAACAAAATCTTACCCTAATTTCTTAATCACAATTCAAATTCTGAATAACGACAGCTATAATTCAAACTGAAACTGGTCTTCAGACATGTCATCCGTTGATCTAAGTTTCCAAATCCTTGACTAAGAAACGCCCTAATAATTATAATTTTAGCTGTTCACTTGAAATATCATCCCCTCGACCTTTCTCACAATTTTCCGATTGAAATAACGAACCAAAATCAATACCATCCTGATCCTTTGGCTTATTTACATGATCAATCACACTGCCGCTCTTACCACTGATGAAACAGCCCAACTTAGGGTGTTGCCAACTTAGAATAGACGTAAGTACGTGGAGAGATAAAATTTCAACGAAACCAAACTGTCCACAAGTAAAAACTAAAAAATAAACGAATATAAAAACTTCACTAGATATGTACAAAAATAAATTGCTCTTAAAGCGGGAAAATTTCAACAGTAATGAAAACAATAAACTAATTTCTCTAATTTAGCTCATTTATACAATATTTCATATTATTAAAAGAGCAGAACTTAATAGTAATCTACTTCGTATTTTTTTAAAATATAATTTATAGCAATAATAGGTTTGAATAGAAAAATAATCAAGTTTACACAAACAAAAAATGGAACTCGCCCTGTTCCATCAACAAATTGCGATCATCATATTTGAAAGAGGATTTTGAATTCTGTAACACAGTTTTCAGGTCATCTGCCATATATGTGCAGTACTCAGTCAAAAAAGCTGCCGTTGTTTGGTTCTTAATCACAGAGATCAGACTAGTCATATTGTGAATGCATGGTGTCTGAAAATTTGAAATGATGACTTATATTTCGTGATACTATTTTATATAGCTTTAAATAAGGTATTAACAAAATAAATCCAAAATAAAAATTGAAAGCAAAAAACATACTTGAGAAGCAATAATAAAATATAACATCTGATGAGTTGAATGATGTTCTATCAAACTATGATCAATCATTCGTCGCATGCAAGAGTCACTTAACTGGCAACTGCGACCATTCACTGCTGAGTCAACATAATTCATAGAAAAGAGTTCAGAAAAACACCTAAAGCATTGATAAAGTTTTGTAATTATTTTTATTCACATAGAATAAAGTTTGCTTTTCCAGTCCAAAAATTTTTAATGAACCTGGTAGATATTAGCAAAAATGTGCATGTAATACAAACTAATATCATTGAATGACTGTAATTTTGCGAAAACATATTGATAATGTGTCACTTTCTAAATATATTTCACATATCCTTAAGATTTCATAAAGGGAAAAGATGTACGGAAAAAATGTTACGAATTTATACCTATCATCTTTCCATCTGTCGAAAAAAGTAATAGAGGGCATACCAGAAAAACCGTCGGATTTTGCTTCACTCTTTTTCAAGCGAAAATTTTCATCAGTAAGTTGATGCGAAAAATTCATCTTCAGTTTACTGTTGAAAATAAATTGAAACTGAAAAATGTAACACTTCGAGATCAATGATTGCTATCAAGAAATGAACTGACTCTAAAATTAAAAGAAAAACGTCCGAATATTCGTAATTACGAGGTAATATGTAATAAAACCTGATCAAATTTATCTTTTCCTCGTTGTATAATAAATGGCAACGCTTTATCTGCAATATTACTCGCCGTTAAACCTATGTTGTAAATTTCATTCATAATTTCTGGATGAACATCGTGATCATGAAGAGCATCTTGAATACTTTTCAAATAGCCTACAAATTCCGTGATTCATTGCAATATAGAGATACGATAATCATGAACCTCGAGCTAGTTCACAAAATTTCAGTTAGTCTATAGTAACTAAAGAATTTAAAAATAAAGTCTGAACTGCAATTCATACTTTATTTGCATCTTCGTCAATTAATCGAAATAGTCATCATTGTAAGACCTTCAAACTTTAAAACACTAACCTTCAATTATACGTAAACCAAAGACACAATTAACAGTAAGCTCCTCGGATCTGCTCATGTAATATCCCTCTAATCCATACAAGGCATTTAACACAAGTGCAATAAGCCGAGCGCTATTCCAACCCCACTGTACCAAAATCATTTCTACTCAACACACCGATCGTCAATTGATAATTGCTTTAACCGCAAGCACATGATAAAATCATTACCGCTTTATGTGCTGTAGTGACTGTTCACAATAATGAGCAATAGTGAAAAGAATTTAATATCCTACAAAATCAACTTGTTAATCCTTACTCAAAAACGATGTAGAGTTTACAATTAAAAATTAAAAAATAATTTTTTAATGAAGAAATTCATCGAAAAACCACTTCCCTAGGCTTTCAGATCCAGATACTAACAAGCCTAATGAACAAATTTTCAAGATATATGGAAATTTAATCTCTCACGTATGAGAAAGACAAACACAGCTAATATAATTTTTATCCACAAGTTTATGAGATAAGACACACGCACATTAAGGGTGCATCAGACCTCTTCTTCGAGTAATTGTGCAAATGAGAACAAAGAGAAACCAAATTCCTCAATATTTCAAAATTCTACACTCATTTTATCTCAAAATGATATGGTAATGAACAGAAATTAGAAGAAAAAATTACACAAAGAACTTTGTCAAAAAAAAAAGAATACTCTCAACATCCAACAGAAAAATAACGATTCATCAGCAATAACAGTAGATGCTTCATAATACTAACAAAATGATAAAACTAGACTTTAATGCTGTATATCATTGCTTTCTTCGGCTCCTCCAACCCACAACACGTTATTGCACCTAAGAAAGTCACAAAGATTAAGAAATAATATTGTTTTCGTTGATTAAAATAAACATTATTTATTAATAGCATTTGCTTAAAAAAGAAATTGAATTTTAATTAGGAAAAATATTCATTTAATTCTAATTTCAGCAAAGAAAAAAATATTCATATTAGGAAAAATATTCATTTAATTCTATTTTCAGCAACGACCTCCAAAATATTTGATAACTAAGACTAAAGAAAATATCATCCCAAACCTTTTTGTTTAGCTCTTTATTTCATTCATTTAGTCTCTTAAAATTTCAGACCAAACAAAAAACTTCTCAATTGGAAAGAGAAATTAAAAATAACATGTCAAAAATCATACCTGATCAAAACTTCGCCAACATCACCAGTATGCTGGCCATCAATATATTCCTCAGCATTAGCCAACTGTAAGTTCATATAACCATCGACCGAAACAAGATATCCTAAAGTTATTCATGATAACACACAATTTCTCAAGAGCAATAGTAATCTTACCATTTTATATCATATTGAAATACTTTTTACTTTGCTCAGTCTACTGCTAAAATAATGCTACACCAAACTTAGACAATTCTTTCAAAAAAATAAAAACTGCAATTCTCCCAAAGAAATTCAAACTACGAAGCAATAATCAACACGTGAACTGCGATAAGTGCAAGACACCAAATTAGTTAACTTGAAAGATATTTGAAAACTGATCATAAGTTATGAGTTGGTAAAAATTTGGTATAAGATCGTGAATCCAACTTCAATACAGACCTTTGTATTCCATACCCCATTTCAGTTTACATACTACCGGCTTGCCAGTTAATCCATTCAAGAATGGCTTCGGATTCACTGGCTGTAAAGTTGTCATTGGTGAAAGGCCTCACAATATCGTAAAAATCTACAAAACTATCATAAAAAATGGTAACTGTGTCAGAAAATTTATCATGCAAACTACAAATTACTCGACGTCAATTTTCATTAGTTTAGTTTTTCTCACAAACCAACAAGCACAACAAAGAATTTAGGACTATCCCCCAGTAACCTTCAAAATTTCCTTGAAAGATTAATCCTTTATACGATCTAACACGCAATTGCTCATAAATACGAATTTTCCTATCAAAAATCTGTTACAAGCATGCGAAATTTTAACATTTCACACACTTCACTGTTTCCCTACTTCTATTCAATAAACTTGAAGACAATGTGGGAAGCACAAGTCTTTTGTACGAACACAATCATAAGCACAAAAACTGTACAACAAAGAAGTGATCATACAATATTAAACGGAGACATTAAAGGACAATTTGTATAATCAAAAACAGTCAAAATTTTTTGAGCGTCTTTCCGTATGCAACACTCAACGAAATTTGCTATCCCAATCAAATCAAATGCACCCGACAACACAAAATAATGGACTACTCATCGTTAATGCCCTATTTTAACAGTTATGATAACGAGAGAAGTTTTATCTCAAAATTTAGTATGTTCATTATGAGGAGAGGTTATACTTTTATGGATATATTCTATATAAACACAGTTTTCTAAACCACACGAATAATGAGAATAAAGCCAATTTGAATGGGAGTGAAAAGTAAGCATGCTCGACTTTTTCCTTGCAGTCAAATGAAATCTCAAGCAAATTTAAACCCAAGACTGATTTAGCGTATAATCGTCTATAGCACATATATTTTATCTGTTTTTGTGTTCAGTTCAACTCGCCATTCGCTCTCGGCAGTTCAGATGTCTCCTCACCTTACAAAAGTTTTAACTGTCGACATATTTCCAAAAATTCATGCTTATGTTCTGTTTGCAAATAACCACAAAGGCCTGAAAGATGTTGGATTAATTGAGAGGACTCTATGAATAAAAATTGTAATATGTTTATTGAAAATATTTTATTCGTAAGATTTGTTTAAATCAAGAGCTGAGAAATAAATTGAAGGGCAAAGAACATTAGAACGAAAAGCGATCAGTAAATTTTCTCGTAAATAATAACTTCTTGGTGAGCAGTTTGTTATCATGACTAAAACACTTGCCTTTAAAAATTTCCACATGATGTGGTAAGGTTTCCATTTGGTAAACGGAAATAAGCGCGCGGAAGTTATTGTTCTGTGCATAACTTATCAGGGCCTTTTTCAAGGATATACTTTTTGGTTTATCAATAGATTGGAGCTGAAACTTTTCGGTCATCTATTTACTTAATAATCTCTAAACAGAACAACAAAATAAATTATAAATAAATTAATTAATAAGTGAGGTGAGCTCATTCATCACGTCCTTGTGAATCCTTTCTTCTTAATAAATAATCACCAATTTATTATATTCAGCAGCAGGTTTTTGCCAGTTCACCAAGAAAGCATCATGGTCTTCACTGGGCGAGTTTCTCTGCAAAGAAGCAAATTTAATTGAAATAAAAATATTTTCTCTATTCACTATCAAAAATGATGATAGAGATAGGTCATATTAATGAACTCCAAACGTTTCTAAGAAATTAAGATCTTGTTGGCCTTTGATATACACAATTCTGGTGAGTCTATTACGAAATAACAAATAATTCTATGAAATTCTGGATGCATCCAATAAACTTTAGCTGTAAGGGCTTACTTGTATACTTTGCTTTTTTGATGCATCTTCATCTGATCCCTTAAAAATCAAAGAGGAAGCATTGGGCTGAAAATATATAGATGTTAAGTTGATATGTATATTATAGAAGCACTGATTTTTATTTTTACCTTCAACAAAAACTTTGACTTTGGTTTCTTGATAGGGAATGCGCTACATGATGGCATATTCTTAGCATTGTCATTATTTGTGTACATTTCATCTTTTATGTTATTAATCTCTTCAACGTTTTCCTGAAAAGGACTAGAAAAAAATTTTCAAACTTAGCAACAGTGTAGTTATGAATCATAAGGAAAACATATGATTAACTGAGGAAATTCTTTAATAAAAGAAAAACTGAAATTAGTTTTCATAGATACCACTGCAACTATTCATTTGAGACTTTTCTCAGAATCAAACAATTCTGAAAATTTCTATCTGAGCCTCGTGCAAGACTGCAATAACTGCAAAATATAATCGCTCATTAGACATACTATGTCGTCGAAAATGCAACTCCTTTTGGGAGGCTTCGGTACTGTCTTTTCATGTTCAATACTTTTTTCAAATGCTTCGATAGCTTCAGAAGAATAGAGAGTTGTGATTTCAGAAATTGAATTGCTCTGATTTTCCCGACTGCACTTCCAGATTTCATTCCGTTTTCGAGAGTTACTTGTTTGTGATGTTATTTCTATAGGTGATGATAATTTCTGGGTAGCATACACCTGCAGCATTCTCTAGTATGATTTCAACGTATTCTTCAAGATAAGAATTAAAATGACAATGTTATGAGCACGATATTCACCGAAATGCATAAAAGAATATGAGACGAGAGCAAATGAAACAATTTAGAGCAACCAATAACAAATAAATTTAGGTCGAACTCATGTCCGAAAATAAACTTGTATCACTAATGAAGTATAAACTTGCAGATCATTACCAAAAAATTAAAACTATGGTAAATTTTCACCTCGAGGTTTCTTTTTTTGAAGAAATTTATACAATCACTTTCAAAAAGGTTAATATTTTGGTAATTTTTCAAACAGCTTCGCATCCAAGACGGAAATCGTTTTGATGGCATTGAGCAAAACCTGAAGTAAAATAATACACAAGCAAATTTTTTTTGGTCTTCAACTGAAAATCCGATAGGCTTTTCCTTTTAGCACAAGAAACTAATTCTATTGTTATTATTTGATCTCCTTTTAGAGTAAAGCACTAAAATGACCATTCAGATAATTCATAAGATATGATACTAAACGATGAAACATAATCCTTTTTTTCTGTGATAAGAAATCACGCTGTTTCTTAAAATTTAGAAGGTCATAAAATAAAGATGACAACCTCGAATCAACAAGGATGACAACACCAAAATCATCTTTATGACGTAGAACGCGCCCAATAGACTGATTAACACCACGGATTGCATCTACCTGATACCATTCATCAGCTGATATAAACTATAAACTAAATAATCGATAAACTATGCAATAATTTAAAAACATAGTTCTTTGTTGAAAAGAAGTACATTGCGACCATCAGTTTTAGCCTGAGCGTAGTGCAAGAGAGCAATAATTTCAAAAATTAATCGTCTATAAGTCATATCTATCAACATTCTTCATAAAAATTATTCGCTCTTTCCAGCTGCTACATTTTTCATAGAATCTTCAACGCATCTCATTTCAGTTGCTCCGTTTCATCAAGCATAAAAAATAATATACGGTTTTCAATAAAGGCTTCCTTATTCTAATTTCTTTGATGATCAAACTGGAAATAGGAAGCGTAGTCATCTTTATAGAAAATTACTGCTTCAATTCATGAAAAATAAACATTATAATACCTTTTTCAGCTCTTCTTTTACAACTCCGATTCTCTGCTTTGTAAGAAACCGCTTTTTTAACTCAATTCGAGGATTTGTTGTAGGAGCAAATGGAATACCAATCACTATAACTCCACGACTTTCGTTGTCCGAAAAATCAATTCCTTCACTTACCTAAAATTTGCTGCTTTGATTTAAAAAATGAACGATCAGTCGCCATCTATAAATGAAATTATGATTAGACAGTAAAAATCTATTTTATCACGTCAAATACAGAACCAATTACAGAACAGAACAAAGTGACAAAAAACCAAACTATCACCAGAATGAAATTTATTTTTGAAATTTCATAATTGTAAAACAGTATTTATGCAAACGTGTTCGATGAAATTCATAGCAATTACCTTGGCCCTGCAAACAGCGAACAAAACTGCACCACGTCCTTCCTTGACTTTTTCACGAAATTGCAGCAATATCACTTTTAATTCTGACTTTGATTTTGGCTCAATAAATGCTTCCTTGTTTGCCGTCAATGTTTCCCAAATAAATTTTGCTCCGTATTTTGCTGTCTTAAAAACAATTACAAAATAAACAATCGTTGAAAAAAAAATAAGCAATGCAGTTCATCAACGACTGTGCTGTAAAATTATACCACATTAAAATTTAAGCGACAGTTAGTTTAGAAAATTTTTCTGAAAGTATTCAGTAGTGGTGCTAAAAATATATGTTTCAGATAAGGAACTAAATATAAAATATATTCAATAAAAATATAAAAAACTGGGGAAGTTATTTAACACGATAGCTACTGCTGCATAATATTTTTCCAATAGACGATCTTTACGTTAAATTTAAGATGCCCATCAGCACTTTAAAATGCTGCATCAGCAAATCTTTTTTCATTGCCTATTAGGAACTAAAAGAGTGTTGATAAAGCTAATTTAAGCAGTATGTAAATCTGAAATCTCAGATAGACAATATAGGATGTATGTGAAATTCTGCGATTAAGTCACAAGACATAGCCATTTAATAGCAAAAACGCAAACCTTCCAGAATTTCAAGCATGAATTCATAACAACGTATGATGGAAAAAACACCAATATACCGTGTGGAATAATTTGACAAGCTCGAATAATAATATCACCTATTCCATAAATGTATCCAGCGCTGCTCCTGATCAGCAAATAGTTAAATTTAAGACAGGACAAAGATAGAATGCAACTTTAAGGCAAATGAAGTACACGAAGTAGAAATCACACATTGGGATGAGAATAACCAAACATGTTTATAAATTGATATATAAAGGAAGCACATTGAAAGTCAACTTTAAAACAGAATTTTATGATAAATTTTAACCTTTTATGAAAAGTACCACATAAATCAAGCCCACTATGACTAGATTGGATTAGTGCTCCCAAAATTTGGTCTGAATCAGCAGCATGTTCATTTTCCAAAGTAATCGGCACATTTATACCAATATTGTTGATAAATGAATCTAGTGGAGACAAAGTACCACTGGTTACAATTATTGAGCGTACACCACACGAATGAAGATACCTAAAAGTAGATGAAAAAATGAAAAAGAAAAAAATTGCTCAGATAAACAGATGAATTTTTAAAATAGTAGCAGACTTATTTTGAAACAAGTTTTAAAGAAGATGAAACTTTATCCCTTTAATTTGCAATAAAAAATGGTACAAGATGCTGTAAAGGAATTGAAAAGAATCGAAAAGCCAAGACATATAATTTTAAACCACAAAACAATTTTTTTCAATATTTTAAAATCAATTAATCATACTCAGAAAGCAATATTCATATTTTAAATGATTTTACAGCCTCTGAAAAATATTATTATAGATTCCTTTCGACTTGACATACGTTATAAAGTGATGGATACGAAATGATCAACATAGAGCCGACATGTCGTACAAGATTAATTAAATGTTTTTAAACGATTGTAATTAACAAACTGACCACATTGCCACTGATGGGGAAAAACACCAGTAATTCAATGTAATTACTGAACTGTACTTGGTGACGTAAAGCTGTAACAAATCATAGTGAGATTTCGAAAATTAGGGAGCTTAATGTTGCACAAGAAACGTGAACAAAAGAAAATAAGCAAAATGTATTGCTTATCAAGAGCAAATCATCCCCTCAAATATTAGACTCACTTGAAAATGATTCACATTGCTAGTTTCTATTTCCTTCCTATTTAAACTCGAAATTCCACCAAAAGAATCAATCAATGCGCCAGAAGCATGCTTGTCAGCAAATACTGTAGAAATAAATGCTGAGAATTCTTGCAAATTGATACCTCTATCAACAAACTGCTCATTGAGTGACTCACTTTGAGCTGAAAATGATGTTCTATCAATTACCAGCATTAAAATTAACATGTAAAACTCTCCGAAAATTTAAAAATTGTAAGATATACTTCAATTCGCCAAATACTGATAGTTCCAATACCACAAAAAAATGAAGTTCAAAAGCATAAAAGAAGAAAGCTTTTATGTTATTATGAAATAAAAGTAAGCATTGAAATTGCATATACCTTTCGCTGTGAGGTAGCGTCCAATTTTGTCAATGGTTACTGAAAATGATTCCCTGATATCCCTTCGAAATCCTGCATGTGTTAGCATTTCAATCATTTTTTTGCCAGGATAAACTTTGCCATCGATTCCCAAAATTTTTTCCCCAGCATCTTCCAAGCAACGATCTACAGTCTCTTCAAATTGATGCAAACAGGCTATAAATTTTAAACTTATTCATGCTGAAAATCATAATGTAATGTACATAAAATTATCTAGAAATTTAACATCAGTTTTTTAAGCAATTTATCTCTACATTTTTTAAATTAATGCACGAAATTTCATATTTAAGCAGTTGGGCAATTAAGGATGCAAATGCAATCATTACTACGAAGGCACACATAAGCGTAGTAAGATAAAACACTTAGAGAATCTAAGTGAAATAACATCATAAATGAAAGAGAATGGTAGGTACTACTACACACAAACCTAGCAAGTGAGCAACATCGTTTTTTTCGACTTTTACTTCTTTTGCTTCTTCAACTTCCGCGCCAAATGGTAGAACCGTATTATCCTACAATAAAATAATCAATTTTTTTGTGATTGTGATAATAATATATTCATCATAGAAATAAATTGAAGGAGACGAGTGAAACGAAGTTTCAAACACCATTTTCGTTCGTATTTCTTCTTCATCTGCTAGTACAAGTTCCAACGCTTTTTTGGTTTCTCTGATGGAAGCACTTATTTGAGTGGTTGAAAATGATACCGATGTTGATTCTTCACAAATTGCTTCCTTTGAAACTTTTAAAATATAATTTAAGATATTTCATGTATTAAGGCTAAATTTAAGTGCTTTAATAGAAGAAAAATATTTCCAGATACGCTATGAATTTTATTTATGATTCAGTATATTTGTATTTCACTACAAATTCCTATCTTCCAATTCCCTATGCTTGTTTTTTTTTTGAATAAAATACCAAATTATGTGCTTCGTCAAAGATGACAATATTGCCTTTCAAACTGATGTTATGCTTATTACGCAAAGAAGGGTCAACAATATAGTTATACGGCAAAAGAATGAGATCAGCTTCTTCATACATCGTACGATTACGAAAGTAAGGACAATATCTGAAACACTGACCATTTTTGAGATAACTTAAAAACACCAAGTAATAGGCATAATTTCATTTCATCCTTATATGTGAGTAAAAATTAGATCCCATGACCGACAACACACTATCACTTACTTGTGCTTCCGGGAAATACTAATAACTTCCTCGATATCTGGAACCACCTGATTTTCATTATATAACATATCTAATGTTTGTACATCAGCTTCTGAAATATCTTTCGTGAAGTGAAATAGATTCTTGTAATTTAATTTGTAAATTTATATTTTTGCTCAATTACTATTTGGAGCTCAAATAACAAAATTAACTGAAATTAATTAAACTTCTGAGACCAGGCAACAAAGGAAAAAATAAGAAATATTTTATAGTAATCATTACTCACTTCTATTAGCTATTCTATGGTTTTCAATGTATTCATCAAGAAAACAAACTTTCGTAGAAATTATAATACAGACATTGATGTTTGCTAATCAAATTTCTACAAATCAGCGACTTGACATGACTATTGCTTTCTTTCATAACTTTCTCGTTGATGCAAAGGATGTCACGGGAAGCCAATGTTACAGTTTTAATACTGTAATTTCAAAAAACAAATAATATGAGTGTAAATACAAAAAAAAGACATAAGAGAAAAAAATCTATGAAGCTTCAAGCACACCATGATCAGGATTTATTCGATTCAAACCAGTGTTATAATCACCAAGAAATTTTGACTAAACAACACGCTTAAAACTGAAAAATTCGACTGATGGTTTAGAAACTTCACAAAGAAAATATCTATAAACATGATAATTACTCTTTATAAGTAGTTTTATTCAGTTCTCTGATAACTTGCGCTAGTTGACTATGTGTCCGAGATGCATAAAGAATTTTCGGATACAGAGATTTAGGCAATTTGCCTGAAATTATTATTTAAGATGCTTCTCGTCTTGGCGTATAATCTACAGATTTCAAAAAATAATAAACAAACGTTTTGTACCAACTGATTTTAGTATCTATAGATACTATGGTAATGAAATATTTCATTTTGGTGAATTCTAAGTGATAAAAAAATTTTCTATCAAAGAGTTATGTAGATATCATAAAAGATTGCGAAAAATTCACAAGAATTAAATACAGCATACAGTGTCATGCAAAGCCTTCATTCTAAATATTAAATATTCGAACAAGCTCGAAAGAAATAAAAAATTAATAACCCTCTATGTTTTGACTAAAATCGAGATCTGTCAACCTCGATTTGCAGTCTTTCAAATATGCAATAGTGACACATAATAAGCATAGCGTTTTGCCAGTTCCAGTTGGGGACTCCAAAGCTGCATTTTGACCCTACATGTATATCCAGACTTTATATCTAATGATTATCAGCATAAATTAGAAACAATCATTTTAACCAGTCCAACCACAAATTATTCAAAAGCTATCAGTATTTCAAATACTAATTAATAATTCTGGACATAATTTTCGATCCCAAATATGTATTAAGGAAGAATCTAGCAACTCTACGACATAGAAATGCTTGATTTCTCTATAATACGAAATTTAAAAGAATAAAACAGTAAAATAAATGATACGAAACATAAGTATTGTAAGTACAGAAGTTTCAAATTTTATCAGTAGCTTACCATTCGTAATGCCGCCATGACTTTTTCCATGAATTTAATCTGACAGCGGTAAGGTTGAAATGGGAATTCCACAGTGATACCATCAATATTTAAAGAGACCATATTTGAAATCGAATTATTGCTGAAATAACTACATAATCTTCACTTTAATCATTTGTAAACTTATCTAACCACAAAAGACCTTAAGGAATGTATTTAATTATATCGTAGCTACATGCATGCTTCATTTCTTTTGAAGATAAAAACAGATCCTGCAGGAGAAGAAAGACAGATATTACAACAGCCAAAAATCTATGACTGCATTTTCAGGCTAAATTCAGAGTATTGAGTTTCTTCTTTGCAGATGCGCGAGTCAATATACAGAACCTGATATTGAAATTGAAATATATGACCTCAAAATATTGAACTTACTGCTAATTTTTTCATGACTTTATGCTTTTGCTATGGAACTTTATATTTTTACACTATTTTTTGCAAATCTTAACGTCCAAATAACCTTCTTATTATCTGTGATACGAAAGTATTTGCCATAAGTGCTATATTCCATGTATCTCAGTACTCTCATAACACTGAACTATTCATCGTTAGGTAAACATCTATTACTAGTGCTTATCTTCCTTAATATGCAAATTGAAACTTAATTATCAAAGTGACAAATGATTTCACTGCTTTCAACAAAATGCTGAGTGTATGCATTGTTGCAAGTAAATGCATAATCTGACTCGCATTGCAAATAATATGAGTACATTCGTCATGAAAACACAGAAGAAATACCGAACAAGATAAAAAACATTTCCGGAAAACCTTCTAAGTGATTAAAGAATCAGCAGAACTGAAATTTGTCGTACTAAAATAGAGAGATCTTTCTATTTCCAATTTTATGAAATTCTCACTTCAAAATTTAAATTGATAAAATCACCTGAGTCATTGTGAAAATTATTCATCCCGCTGCAGTTGAGATCCTGAATAATTTACTGCTAATTTACTCAGTGCAACAAAAAGTTTACTGCCTTGCAGCTTGCGTGTCAAAGTTTATTAATTACATTTTCTTAATAATTACACAAAATTTGAACAAAGTTTGGATAAATATGGTCAATCATCTGCAGCTAAACAAAGAAATCAATAAATAAATCACTTGATCGGATCATATTTATTCTTATATTCGTAATAAAATCATTTGGA